AGAGAAAAGAATGTGCGGCGGCACAAAAAGTTTGTTTGAAAAAGGAACAAGGCGCGTTTGTTATTCATCCGTTTTCATGAAATTTGGACAGTTTTCCTTGAAGACCTTTCCCTTGTGCGAGGCGGCTCTTTGCGAGTTAAAGATAAAGGGTAAAGTGAATCTATATTTTAACGTCGGTAGCTAGCCCGTAACAGTACCAAAAAACCTTTCATGTTCAAGTCTTTATCCGAGAAGACATTTAATTCTAAACGTTTGAAATGAAAGAAACAAAGTATAGAGAAAGTATGGCAGATAATTCATCCTTTAAGATGAATCCTCCCAAGAATGTTTTAAGCATAAAGGAGTTTTTTGAGCATAAACCCAAGGCAAGAATAAAGGCGGGGATGGATAAGCTGCTCAACCTAGAACTTTAAAAACCTCTCATTAATTCTTTTTCTCCCTGTGCTCGACTAAGCGTCGTCCCCAGGGCTCCCCCTTTTCGCTTTTTTCAAAATGGCGGACCCTCCCGCCATTTTGAAAGTAGCGTAGGGGGCCCTGGGGACGAGGTTGGAGGTGGTGGACCTTAATATTATCCTGATATACTTTTTTTATTCCAGAATTCTAATATCTATGAAAAAGATGGAAAACTTGTTTTCGATTATGGAACAAGAAAAGCACATGCAATTTCTAATTTTACAACTGAAGTAACAGCACAGTTTACAACTCCATGTGGGAAAAATGGATTTATATTTAACATTGAACCACATTCATCCTGTAACAAAAGCTGGTGAGTTTTCACGTCTAGAAAATGATCGTTTTATATTTCATGCATGCTCGCATGACAAAAATATATATCTTTTTTTCATTTTGAACTTAGGCAATGTGCTCTGACTTTAGCACAATTGTGTAATTCAAACAAGGTTTTGGACGTATTACAACCGCACTGCGACGATAGTCTTTATTACAGAGCCCCAAGAGATGCACCCCATATTGACCTTGGGGAGTACATGTATCGCCAAACTGAAGACTTCATATTGACTAGCGACGACCATCAAACCAGGACAGTTGCTTCATTGGTAAGCTTATTGAACTTGAGCCATAAATGCAGTGAAATGTTGTTTTAGTGGAAGGCCAGAACGAAAAAAGAATTTAAATTAAATTGAAATTCATTTCTATCATTAATTGAGTTCATTAAACGACAACAAACATATGAAACATATGTATGAACTGCGGTTATGAGATATCTACGGGTTTATGTCGAATTAATTTGATGGCCTGCTCTCATTTGGCTTGTTAGCTCAATTGGTAGAGCGCTGCACTAGTATCGCAGAGGTCAGTGGTTCGAATCCCGTACAGGCCTGAAATTTTTTTCAGGTCTGATTTTCACTATTGCTCAAATAGTGCTTTACTGCGAAGGATCGTTCACATATATGAGTTCATTAAGTTAACTTAACATTTATAACGGTATGGTTCTAATTGATTGGGCTACTGGTACTCTCCTGAAAAGATTTATATGGATTTTTTTTTTTTAGTATCCTGGTTGGCAAAAAGATGGCACTTTTATCTTGAATGAAAAAATTCAGGTATGTGCTGCATCAAAAAAACTTCTTCCAGAGGACAGAAGATATGTGCTCTTCCGTAAGTCCAAAAATATTGCTCAAGATCGGGTGGATAGAGGTCAGTTTATATTAGTTATACTAAAATATTTTATTTTCCTTTGGACGGAATGCCCTTCGGTGCTCATTTTGCCTTATAGTAAAATAATGGTGCTAAAATAGGTATCTTCTAAATGAGCACTTTTTTAAAACACAATAACATATAAATGCTCCATAACTTCCCTCAACTCCGTGATTTTTCCACTAAAGAATATTCATGGTAAGGATGTTAGTTATGTTTTAACATTTTGATTCATTTGCAGAAATATTAAGCAAGTACATGGGGTCCTTTTCTCATGAGATGAATGTGAATGGCTTGACAGACCTTCTAAAAGCCATGAGAAATTTATTGACATCAAACTTTGCAGCTGCATGTCTGGCTCTGGGTGGGACATCTGTTAGTCTTGGCTACCAGAGAATTATACAGAAAGGAGGAGAGTGCCCTGTTACTCTCCTAACAGGAGACACAGAGACTTGTAAGACAACGGTCTTAAAAGCATGCTTGTCCCTTGTTGGGAATTCAGATGTTAAAGGTAAGTATTTTGATACCAATCAATTAACTGCTATAAACCATTATCACTGGAAATTGAACATTTTGTATTACTCCTTCCCCTCTACCCCCCTTCTTCTCTTTCTCTTTATTTCGTTTTCTTTACCATATTACTTTATTTATTATTCTGCCACTGTCATTCAGTTACTTTAATTAATACCCAATTTATTATGGAAAGCTCATGCTGTATAAGCTGCATGGTTTCCTTGGGCTTTCCTGCCTCATTGTAATAATTTTTTTGTGACTCAAACTGTATCTAAAGTAATAAAGGGGCAAAAATAAAATAAAAAATAAACAATTACTTTTAACCTGACAAAAATATGAATATTCATTTAAAAAATGGCATTTTCCCAATCAAAAATAATCGAACTGGGCAAGCTTGGCCCGTTGGTCTCATTTTCTGTGGGTAGAAATTCATAACATTTTCAGGTTACAAGCTTTTACTTCAAACTTGGTAATTTTGCTATTTTTAATACTGGCTAAATGGAAGTAGCGTTTGTTCCAATGATTTTTTTTGTCCTAGATTACTCAGCAGCTAAGGCTCTGGACCGTTCCAAACTTTGTGACATACCATGGGCATGGGATGATCCCACCGATGCTAAAGATGTGAAGGATGTTGTCCAGGCTTTATTTAATCAGGTGAGTAAAAGAGTTATATTGTTGGTTAAATATTTAGCGATTTTTATCTTTCATCTTGATTTTTGCATAGTTCAAACGTAATATGCACCTATCGCTTTTTTCACAAGAAATAAGTTTTTTAATTAGCCCTCTTTCACTGGAGCTTGTTTTTCGGAAAACCTGGTTTTTAAAAATTTACTGCGCATTGTGTTTGCCTTCTTGGTATCTCCAACATTTTGACTTTTCGTCGGCACGTGTTAAACTTAAGTGTCAATGGGTTAAATGTGAAGCCTAAATGAGTTTTTGAAAAATTGCATCTGCAAAGGTTTACAGTAACCTTGAGTGTATGCGAAAAAAAATGTTAGCATAAAATTGCTTTTTAAAATTATTGCTTATAAGATTTTTGAGAAATTTTTTTGAGAAGTTTGACTTCATTTGGTGTACAGATTATTGTTAAGCTAAAATTAATCCTAAACATTCGCATTGACTCAATCCCACATGATTATAAATCATTTGTGACTGGGCTAAAGAACATATGACCATTTTTTTCTTTCTCTATAATTTGCTCTTTTCATATAGCACAAAAGATGAACGGAAATCAGCTACCGTATCTACCCGTGTATAAGTCCATTTTTTAAGACATGAAAATCAGCTTAAAAATTTGCCCTCAACTTATACATGGGTCAAATGTGATGTAGAATTAGCATGTCTCACCAAAAAAAGGAAGTCAATATCAATCTTTTCTTGATCTTTAAGTAAAATATATTTTTATATATTACTTCTGAAACTCCCTGCATAGTCAATATTTTTATTACAAAAAAATTTGAAATATACCTATTTGATTTGGAGAAAATAAGAGTCAAAGCTTATGCAAATCAGGGCAAATCTGTATCGAGAATTACAGATCTTTTCATGGTTTGCGATTTTCATTGTCTTTCATTGTGTAACTTTTAATGAATTATTAATGATTTTTGTAATAGAGAATGCAATATCCTGTATTTATGATATAAAGCGCCATAAAATCAAACTTTTCAGAGAAAGTTTTAATTTAAGAAATTTTGTTAGCGAAACTGTTATTTTTACATGTGTGTTTCAAACTTTAGAAATCTAATTATTTTACGGATAATTATATAATAAAATGGATCATTGTTAGGCTGGTAAAGAAACAGTGAGATCAAGAGGAGAACCTAGAAGCCCACCGGTAATAAGTGCAAATTTTGCCTGTCTCAACGACAAAAGGTAAAATCTCTAGTAAATTTTCAAGATTATGGATGGCTTTGAAGCTTAGAACAATTTTTACAGGTTTTTCTCACTCAGAAAATCACATTGATATCCTGTGATAGGATGAAAATCGGTGTTTGGAAATTTTTTCTCTGGTGGGAAATATAGCCATGTTTGTTTTTGTATTCATGAAAATACCACAAAGTTATTTAGAAATTCTCTTGCCTGTCTCAGTGACGCATATGTTACTGGCACACACAGAGATGTACCTTATGTGTTTGCCCTTTAACAGTCTCAGCTGAGAGGCGCTGGCCAGTAGAATTCATTGTATTCTAAAAACTTGTTCTTTAGTAATTATTTTATGTTTATGTTAAATTTATTCTCCCTTTGTTTCAGATCTTTCTCTAGAATGGCCATTATTTTGTTTGAAAGGCCAAACCCAATACTGCCATCGGTCGAGATGGAAGAGAAAAAAGCACAACTTCAGCTAGCTAGCAGAAAAGCCAAGATTGCTATCGTGGAGGTTCTTCATTTAACTGAGAAATTCCTCATTAACTCTTCTAAAGAAGATAGAGATCTGGTTTCTGATCAATTAGAAAATATTTTTTCTAAAGAATTTATCAGATCAATACCAAGCTACAAAATTGTAGTTTGGCATACAATTGAGGTAAGCTCAACAAACGTGATAAAAACTGGAAATTAATTTTTATTTTTTGCAAATTTGTGGCTGCTGCCTTTTAAGATCGTAAGAAACTATCCAGTAACTTTAATTGGATTTGAAAAAAACCCGGGAAGTAAACTTTTCAGGCCAGACATGATGGGCTTTCCTAGCTGGTTCTTATTAACTTTGATCACTGATTTGGTGATATCAAATTGTATACCTGATCTGGGCTAGAACCTTTTTATTATTTTTTTTTTTTTGGTTATTATTTTTTTAATTAGTGTATAATTGCCCAACTTTATGTATTAAACAATTGTGATCCTTATCACCTCCACTTAAAGATAGGCACTAATATATATTTTATTGCTTTTTCCAAAGCTCTTAAAGATTGCAGGAATGAACAATGAAATACCCAAAATCTGGTCATATATCGAGTCAACATTGGCACCTTTCATCATGGCAGCGTATGGAGCATCAAAAAAAAGATGTGAAGATGCCAGATTCCAAGCTACATCAGCTGCAGCAGGCCCTGTCCCAAAGAAAACAGAAGATGTAATAAATTCTATCACAAGAACTATTAAGAGCTTTGATAAGAGACAGGTCAGTGTCTGGTTATAGTGCATAAGTCATGATCCTGGGTGTAAACCTAGATGAAAACCTCAATTTTAGAGATCATATACATAGTGTGTGTAAGAAAGTTGGTGGGATGGTCGGAATATTAAGTAGGCGCAAGAATCTTGTCCCAATAAATGCCAAGCTACTTTTGTACAAATCAGCTATCTTGCCACATCTTACCTATACTGCCACCTAGAGTGGCATTTTTGCACGGCATCAGATAGTCATAAATTGGAGCGTCTACAAGAAATAGCCTTGAGACTAGTGTACAATACTACTACAGAGAGCTACAAAACCTTGCTGAAAAGAGCTAAGTTAACTACTCTACTAAACAGGAGGTTGCAAGATATACTCATTTTGATGTTTAAAGTTTAAAACAAATTAACTATGGACCAAATTGCAGATATTTTTAATATCAATGAGGAGAATACTAAGAGATAAAACCTAAGAAATGCGGATTTTATGTTACCTCGGTTTAATACTGTCACCTATGGAAGACATTCTCTCAGATTTCTCGTACCACAATTGTGGTCAAAATTAAGCAAGGGGGAGACCTTGGCATCCTTTAAGACTATGATACGTAAGAAGGACGTAACATCATTTCTGGAAGGATGTGGGAGGGAATGCCGCTTATGTTTTGGTTAAATGAATGTGCGCGTATCCAAGGGCTTTCTTAATGTTTCAAAGTATTTAATAATTTTTTTTTAATGATATAATGTAGTTTTAGGGTGTCCCCAATTAGTGCTTACAGGCACTAGAACGCCTAGACACGTTAATAAAGGTTATGTATGTATGTATGTATGTATGTATGTATGTATGTATGTAAACAGTTAAGAGGTGCAGGCATTTTCTACTCTATCTTAGATTGGACTAACCCTTTTAGTTTATGAGGAAACCTTGAAAACTACCTACAGTTTCATTTTGTTAGCCTATTGGCCTTCGAAATGGAGGGCTGCAAAACTATCCTTCAATAAGCACATAAAAAATCCATACTTTTCAATTTTTGGTACAATTGTGAACCCTTGTCAACATCACTTCCTTTAGAATAAATCACTGAAACATTTTATAACCAAAATTCAATTTGTAGATAAATATTGTTTGCTCTGAATACCCAGAAGTTAAAATATTAATTATTATATGATCCATTCTTCACTGATAGTTCTTATGCCTTGATAAGTAACCACGTTCTGTATTTAATTTACCATGTATTTTTAGACCTTTGCAAGAGAGCCCCAATTTCAAATTATTAGTGCAATATATTAACATTTCCATTGTCGTCGATTTCACAGCATATAAAGCTATTGGAAATCAAGTCTATGAAGTCAGTTGGCTTTTCGTACAATACACTGGCTCCACTTATTGGAGTTCATCCAAGGAAGCTGTGCGATGAGCTCCTAGAGATCCCTGGGGCGAAGAAGGGAAGGCATTACTATCTACATAAAGATTCGCCGACAACCCACTTTAAGACTAAGAAGGGCATAGACCAAGTCGGAAAAAGCTCTTTCAATAAGAGCATCTCTGTGCCAGGATCTTCACTTTCAACCAATTTTATCGAATTGGTTGAAAGGAAGTATGCTGGAGGCCAAGGTACTAATTATATATATACTGTAACTACAATTCATTATCGCATTTTTGTACATGAAGAAAGTAATGTGGAGGGCAATATATGCTGCAATTCCTTTGAATTTATGGTGACGTCCTATTAACTCTTTTGGCTTTAAGATGTATTGTCAGCAATCTAAACAAAGTCATAAACAAAATCAGAGCAAAAATCTTATTTCTTTTAACTCAGCAATTATACATCAATGGGAAAACGGAATATATGTCTGTATACAGAAGTCTAACAACAGTCAATCGCATTGCAAACATGCCAGTAATGATGGTCTAAACATGAAAATGGTGGGTGGTTAATTTTCATATGCTGCAGCTGTTTAGAGCATGGTACATTTAGCTTGCTTCCCAAAAGCTACTTTTAATTATAAACAAAAACTTTGAAGTGAATAGATATGTAGAGAGATTTTTATTCTCAACCATTTTAATCAAGCAACAAGAATTTAAAGCGCATATTAGGCTGTTGTGATGATGCTCTTAAGTTTTTAACAATAATAATGTGAACGGAGGAAAGCCATGGTTTGGGATCAAAAGTGAGAAAAATCTATATAAAAAATAAATCGTAGACATTGACAGTAGCTGTGGCTGAAAATTAGTGCCGTTTGACATGAAATGTTCAGTTATTCCTTTTATTAACAGAAATTATGATGCATGTGGAACAGCTATGTCTTTTATTACTTTTCAGCCTCTGAAAATGGCTGTGATGGTGAACAGAGAAAAAAAGAGAGAAAGAGTAAAAACAAAGGGGACCAGAACAAGGCTGAATGTGAAGAGGAGGAAAGTTTGGATGAATGCAAAGGGGATGACGAGGATGAAAGTGGGGGAGAGGAAATAAGGGCTGAAAGTGAGGGAGTGGAAAGAAGCATGGATGGAATTAAGGGAGAAAAAAACCTTGATGAAAAGGGGGAAGAGGAAAGCGAAACAGATGATAGTGAGGGAGAGGAAAGCATGGATGAAAAAGTGGGAGAAGAAACTGTTGACGAAGGTGAGGGAGATGATAACCAAGATGGAAGTGATCATGAAGAAAGCCAGGAAGAAAGCAATGGCATAGACAGTGAGGGTGAATGCAAAGGGGAAGACATTCACCTTCATAGCAAAGGCATTCAAAGCAAAGATCAAAGAAAAGATAACAATGTTAACAAAGAAAAAATACCAGTGAAGAGGAAATACAGAGGTAAGTCTGACATTTGGGGTATTGCGAGGTGAGTTTAGTATTCAAAAGAAGGCTTTTTCTTCATACACTGTTATTTTGCTCCAACTATATCAGGTTAAAAGAATTATGTTAAACTAAGGAAGACGCTAATTTACCCCAATAAAAAAGGTCATACATTCAACAACCCTAAGGGAAGTTTTTTATGAAAAAAATGTATTCAATTCCAAGCTAACAGAGAAGGGGCATTGAATTAACTAACATTCTTCTATTCCATTACTTTAGTGAAAACAGAGGCTGAAAAACTCAAGGATGGCCTGAGCATCACTGCATCAACCCTACCTTTGAAGAGGTGTAGGAGAATTTGAACGACTTTATAGACCGTTGAAATGTAAAGCTGGTTTAAATTTTTTGAAATTTTTAAATTGAAATCATTGGTTCATGTTTTTACAGGGTTCACTTTTAAAAAAGTAAATACTTTTTCATACTGTATCTGCTCTGCTCTACCGCATTAATGAATTTTCAAAAATAAATATTCCATAGATAAACTATCATTGATATAGAATTTTTTTGTGTACTAAATGCAGTTTCTTAAAAACTGCTATGAAATATGATGTTTTTTTAATTAATCAGAGTGGGGCAGGGGTTGGGGAGGTGCATATATACATTTTCATATGGACGTCACAAAAAATTAGAGTGATCTTCATAAAAGAAATTTACTTAACAAAGTTTAGTAATAATGACTAATTTACAATAAAGAACAATGGATGAATAGCTCGCTAACTTTCAATTGTTAATTAAGCCAAAAATTATTTCGTGGGTCTATGAAAACCACTCTATCAGCAATTCACAAAGGAATGTTCACAAAAATAAAATATCTTCAATTAATTTCATTCTTAATTTACAAGAATGAATTTTATCTCTGAACACAAAGCAGATTTTTTTGAGACAATTGATGTTTATAGAGATAGTCAAATCATGATAACATTTATAGTGAAATAAACATGTTTAACTAAACATGGTTTGGTGTTAATGGAGTAAGCACAAAAGAAGACAATGAATTTACAGAGTAAATATTTGAAAGCTGCATTTATTTCCTTAGTACCATAGTTATTTTAATTTTATTTATTTATTTTTTTTACATAGCTTAGGTGTCAGAAAGTCTAAATAAATTTCCTATTTTGAGAACTCCACATTTTGAAGGCTAGCTGGTAGTTATAAATTAATCAAAGTGACTCCCAGGCAATGAAAAGTCAAGATTTTATGTCCAAAACAACTTCTATTATTAAAGTAGCACTTGGACCAAAACCAACTGATTTTTAATACTCAAAAAATCAAAATAGACCTATGCTTGAAGTTTTCATATAGGTGTTTGAATATACATATAATATATATATATAGTTATACTTGTGGCATGTTTTTGCGCGAGTTTCCAAATTTGAAAACAAGTTGAGATTTCACCTACACCAATCCAATCCCAATCTGTCAGGAGTTCATGTATGACCCCATGAAATTTCCTGAGCTCGGTATATGCTTCAAGGAGACCTCACGTCTTCGTCCATTAGGAGTTCTTCCAGCCGCACCAAGCCGCACTTAAGCATCCCTAGCCGTACTTAGCCCTACTGAAGTATCCCTTTCCGTACTTAAGCATCACTAGCAACTATTAGCCCTACTTCAGCATCCATAGCCATCCTTAGCTGTACTTAGCCGCACCTAGCCGTACTTAAACACGAAGGCGCGCTATATAAGGAGGTCTTCCCTGGGAGGGCCTAGGCTCATTTCTCACTCACCGTTGACGTGTGCGGGTCAAATTCAAATGCTGGTAGACGAACAAAAGGAGCTAATGAGATATCTATTGTTTACTTCCACCAGCATGGTGGCATGAGGTAACGTGCGAACCACCTACTTCGATCTCAAATTTACCGCCACAAATAAAGATAGTTTCCATTGGAGAAAGGAAATACAAATCTCAAAAATTCTTGTATTATGATGAAGACATAAAACAATTTTGAGGAATGCGCCCGCTGTTCACTGCTCTGGAATAGCTGTAGCTAAAGCTGACTTGACTCTAAGAGTTAAACATCACACGACGGTTGATTTACAAATGGTCCAGTGGGACCTAAGGCTCCTTTTATAGCGCGCCTTAGCCGTACTTAAGTATTCCTTATCGTACTTAGCTTTACTTAAGCATCCCTAGCAATCCTTGATCTTCCAGCTCCTGAACCTTTGTTTGAGCTGAAGAAGAAAATAAGGATGAATGTCAGGTACAACTTAATAACAAATTTCACGACAGCACTTTTTTTTTTTGTCATGTTTGATATTTCACATTTTTTGTTGATTTTCCTTGATTCACCTACTATTGCGGTTTTCATGAAGGGTTATTTTTCAGCAGTAAAGGAATTTTTTTTCCTCTTAAAGAATAAGATATCTGGTTTTTAATGGAACACCTTATCATGTTTTTTTTTTTAATTTAAGTTTAGAAGGAGTACTAAATTAATCGTATTACAATAACTTTCCTCTTTTTGGCGGATTGCTAATTGTCGAATGTGAATCTTTAGTGGATACAAATATTGTTAAACACCAAAAATAATCATGGCACCTTACTGTGCTAATATGCAATGAAAAAGCTGTTGAGTTGTAAAACAAAACCGCGGACAACACCAGTAATGTATTATGAGCAACGTTAAAATCATGAATTGTTTCATGTGTTCGTAGTTTTTGCAGTTGGACATTAATCTAAGCGTAATGACTTCTGTATTTAACGGACATTCACCTTCTCGAAAGAAAAAATAACTCTTTGGAAGCAAATTACCAACATTTTCCCGCAAAATACAATATTCGCATGATTCGCGGAAAACGAATGCGTCCCACGGAGCATACGTGTTAGGCCTAGGTACATATGGAAATGCAATAAAAATCTATCCTGAAAATCTCAGTTTTGTTTTCTCTACAAATCCCCTCAGAAATCTCGGCAATAGTTCCATATAACCCCATACATGAATTATGCAGTCAGTCTTTGTTCATTGAAAACAATAGCGATAACGCAATAGAACTCCACAGACACTGGTGGTCTTTGTTTTCAAAATGTTGCGTTTTTTTTCTCTAAGTCCACGTCAAAACAGGGGAAATTTGGCGCGTTTTGGTTTTGCAAAACGAGAACTTCAAGCAATTTTCAAGAGGTATTTAATTTTGAAATAAAAAAATTAAAATATCGGAAGATATATATATATATATATTCATTCCCTAATACGTGTTTGTGATTCTATTCTCCGGGCAAGAAAATGTAGTTCAGTCGGAAACGCTCATAGCGCTGCATTGTGGGTTCTGTTTTGAATACGACATGTTTGACAATATGAATCCAGATTCCGAAAGTATACAATAAAAACATCGCCTTTTTTTTTTAAGCCAGCTGTTTTCTCTACGTTTTCCTCATCATGTTGATCTTTTCAGATAGAAAAATTAGCCAAAATTTGTTGCTTAAAGTTCACCCGTGCTCTACTTTTTGCAACGACTTTCTTCAACCCGTCAAAAATGTTTTTTTTTTTTTTTTGCGCGAGAAGTTGATCACGCGAGGCAAAAAAACGCGAAACATCGACCAAAACTTGCAACGAAAAAATGTTGCGGGACAAGTTGAGGGATTTTGTATCTCGTACTTCGCCGCCTCAACACGTATGAATATTAATAACTCAGTGGAGCTCATTCTTGAGTGAGTGTGGGTTTTAGGACGAGGGTTAATTATCAAGCTTCAGAGTGTAATGTCGAGAAGCCATAAAAAAAGAAAACTCAAAAATAGAATAAAATATAGAAACAATCCAGACATTTAATTTGACATTAGATGTTTATTAGATGACGCCGCACTCATGTCCACTTTGTGTTAAGGGCTGATAGTTTCGAAATAAACTGTTTGGGGCTGCGTCGGTTGGGGTAACGAAATAATTTTAATCTATCAACAAAGTTGAAATAGTAAATTGGCCACCGTAACGAAGGGCTAACGCTCGAAACGTCAGCTTTTCAGTGTAATCGTTACGGTGGCCAATTTACCATTTCAACTTTGTTGATATATCCAAATCACTTTGTGTTAAGTTGTACTCGCCACAGGCGAGTTGTAACGTTATAATTTATTGACCAAAGAACTCCTAATCGCACAATTTTAACACGAAACGGAACGATACGACTGGGCCGACGACAGGAGACGAAACGTAATGGTTAAAACTGAAAATAAAACAGCGGACGAAAACTAAATACAATACTAGAGACAAGGGCCGTGTTTACCGTGCCGGCTAGAAGTACTCGTGTAAACTCTTTGGATTGGCCGTGAAACTAAATAAGGAACAGCAAATAATTTGTCAAAACTTAGTCAGCGTCCCTTTCATCGAGATCTCGATGATACATTTAAAGGATACAAAGAATATATAGCAGTGCCTAAGTCAGTCTGCCATTTATGCAATTACAGTTCCGGGAAAGCGCTGCTTGACCAAAGAGATAAGCTCGTCCGTTAGGGACAGGCCTCCCTCAGTTTTCCTTAACAGACCTTGCAGATTTTCCAGTGTACCTTTCCGAAAAGCGTACGAGCTCCTAATATACTCCCAAGATCAATCACAGATTATCTTAGGGTCTTCAGAGCTACCTGAAGTGAAGATCGCTGAATTTTTCAAGGCCTGTTTTTAGTTTATAACAACTCAAAAGATTTTCAGAGTAGTGTACGAGCAGTGAGTATACTCCGAAGTTACCCGAAAATCCAGCCTGAGGAACAATCGAACCCCCATGAGCCCATGGTCGAACACCTATGAGGAATTAAGAAAACGCCGAAGAAATCGCCTCAACAATCTTTTAGTTACTGTTCTATATTTATGTAAGTTACGCGAAATTTTTGAGTGTGAATTTTGTCCTAGCCCAAGAAAAGTGCATGGATATCGGGTAAATTCAGATCAGTTTGAGCTATTGTTTCTTTACCGCTAATAAAGATCGATAGAATGTAACAGGAAATATGACAGAAAACTGATGTGTCAAACGATCGACAAACATGATGTAATTAACTGGTTAATTGTTAGAAAACCGCGTGTTAAGATTAACGCTAAGATTTGTCTGACAGGCCCACGTAACAGGATATTAGTGGGATCAACAAAATAGAAATTTGATAAACAGCCAAGCCCTAGCTGACCACATTGTAATAGCGCGCGGTCGAGCAGAAAGAGTAAAAAAATTGCTGCAAGTCTATAAATTGCTCTGCCGGCGATATCTTCTACACAGCAGCGGTGTGCATCTACTCCAACCATCTGTGCCCCAAGGTTTCCCTCTACCGCCGAAACCCATCATTCCTGAATTTTCTACTCCTTTCTTTTTAATGCAGCTAAAAGGAATTATCTCAAAATGTAAAGGATGTGAAAAGGCTTACAAAAACAATCTCAATCTTTTGATAGTTAGTTTCACGACCGTTAAAAATAGATGTTACTAATTGAAAATAAACAAAAGAAAATTATAACAAAAATAGAGAAAAAGGAAAATGAAGCTGGGGTTCGATAATTCCTCGAGGATCTCCGTTTAACTTTAGAGACCCTCGGATAGTTTCGTTTAATCATCAGAGTATATATCTGGAGCTCGTACAATACTCTTCGGAAAAACCTTGAAAAAAGAAAAAAGGAAGAGTCGGAGAAAGACTTAAAAATTTAGGACTATCCGGCGGGTAACTTTGGAAACCATACAATAATCTTCGAGTTAATCATCGTAGTATATTCGGAGCTCGTACACTCTTCTGAATAATTATCATCGGAGTCATTTTGAATAATAAAAAACAAAGATTTTGAAAAATTCAGGCGGAGTTCAGGCTTTTCCAGCTTACCGCGAAAAATACCAATGAATACATGCAAAACACAAAGAAAAGCGCACGCAAAGTAACCGCAATTAGCACCATTAAATTAAGGAAAATATATAACGACTAAGGTGTTACCTATCTATTTTTAACGAATGTATTCGCCACAGGCGACTTGTTACCTAATTGAACAAAGAACTCCTAACCGCACAATGCTGGGCACGTTTGCGCACGTTTGGAAACGTGCGTTCGCCCCAAATACGTGGTGATTTACTTGGCGAGAATCCTAAATCGGAGCTGAAATTTCGAATAGAAGCTAAAGCCAAATGAATCTGTGGCTATT